AAACTTTTCTGGACATTGAACCAGTAAGAGGATGTTGTTTTATTCAACATTTTTTAGTTTGGAACGGTATCAAACTTTTCTGGACATTGAACCAGTAAGAGGATGTTGTTTTATTCAACATTTTTTAGTTTGGAACGGTATCAAACTTTTCTGGACATTGAACCAGTAAGAGGATGTTTGATTAAACCCAGTGAAAGTATATAGAAGGTGTAGTAGGCTTTTGAGCCTTGGTAAAAGTGAGGAGCAGATGCAACAACTGGTGCTCCTATAAATAAACTAAAGTTCTGAAAAAAATCTTAATAAATTATAACATAAGAAGAAAGAAAAAAATGTTCCTTTTTTATTCTACTATAGTTCTTAAAATACTTTTTTGTTTCCGTGATCATTTTTGAAATTATTTACTGGAAGAAATTATAAGTGTGTCAACTTCAGATCATTCAAAACTCTATAACATGAGTTTAAAAGAGTTGAAATGAGTGTTTTGTTTTAAAAGAAAGGGGAATAAGCACAATAAAACAACCAGTATTCTGCATGTGTGATTTAGTTCTTATCACGTACCAATAAGCACAAAAAAATTAATGTAATTGATTTTTTGTATTTTCTGAACTATGTGAAAGAATGTTTTCAAAACCGTTATTGAAAAATAAACAACATACTTAAAACTGAGTGAAAAGTTTAAATAGGAAAATAACTGAAATGTTAAAAGATATATAATCAATGTCACACATGTGACCTTGAGTAAAATCCATGAAGTAACATTAACTGCCATTATATTAACAATTTTAAGTACAGTAACATTTTAAATAAATATAATCAATTAAATATAGTATAAAAAATTAATAAATATGATGTGAAAGTGAAATGTAATGATCTCCCAGAGAAAATTAAAAACTACAGCTGATAATAAATCACTCAAACATTTACTTCACTTACAAGGTATGTATTCAACAAATAAGTAGTTATGGCCTTCCACGAAAGAGCATTAGATATCAAATTCTGAGTTTAAAAACTTAAGACATTTCATTAAATCAACAACTACAGTATGAAAGTAGTTATGGTCATCCATAAAGAAACAGTGATTATTTGCATCAAAAGTGACAAATTATAAGTAGCTGTGATTATCTAGTTTAAGTCCGAAAACTAACCTTTCTTATATATAGTTAAATCAATAGTCTCAGCATGTAAACACTAGTTTAAATCCAGAAACTAATCTTTCTTACATGTAGTTAAATCAATAGTCTCAGCATGTAAACACTAGTTTAAGTCCAGAAATTTAAATTTCTTAGATTTAGTTAAATCAATAATCTCAGCATGTAAACACTACTTTAAGTCCAGAAACTAATCTTTCTTACTTGTAGTTAAATCAATAATCTCAGCATGAAACACTAGTTTAAGTTAAATAACTTATCTTTCTTACATGTAGTTAAATCAATAGTCTCAGCATGTAAACACTAGTTTAAATCCAGAAACTTATCTTTCTTACATATTAAATCAATAGCCTCAGCATGCAAACACTAGTTTAAGTCCAGAAACTTACCTTTCTTACATGTAGTTAAATCAATAGCCCCAGCAAGTAAACACTTTTGATCATCCTTACAGAAGCACTGGTTGTCTGGATTTGTTCTTGGAGTAGCAAACAGCTTAGCAGGGGTTGTGAAGCGGTATGCTTTAATACCTAATATATTAACTTCTTTTTCATACTCAAGGTATAAGGACCTGAAAATTTTATTGATACTAAATACCTTTAACACCTGCACAACAAAGTACTAAGTATCTTTATGTTACTGTCTTGTGTAGGTAACATAAAGATACTTAATAGTACGTTGTATGCGTATAGCATAAAGATACCTAGGACTGTCGTGTTTAAGTAACATAAAGATACATAGTACTTTCTTGTGTAAGTAACATAAAGATACCTAGACTGTCTTGTGTAGGTATTTTATAAAGATACTTATTATTGTCTTGTGCAAATAACATAATTATACTTAGTACTGGTTGTGTAGATAACATAAAGCTACTTAGTACCATCATATGTAGATAACATAAAGATATTTAGTACTATCTTATGTAGATAACATAAAGATACTTAGACAACATGATGATAGTTAACAATGTCTTGTGTAGACAACCTGAAGATACTTAGTACTGTCTTGTGTAGATAACATGATGATAGTTAGTAACGTCCTGTGTAGATAACATAAAGATACTTAGTATTGTCTTGTGTAGATAACATAAGGATACTTAATACTATTTTTGTGTAGATATCATAAATACATTTAGTACTGTCTTGTGTAGATAACATAAAGATACTTAGTACTGTCATGTGTAAGTAACATAAAGATATGTAATTTTGTCTTGTGTAGGTAGCATAAAGATACCTAGTGCTGTCTTTTGTAGATTCTAAGTATCTTTATGTTATCTACACAAGACAGTACTAAGTATCTTTATGTTACCTACACAAGACAGTACTAACTATCATCATGTTATCTACACAAGACAGTACTAAGTATCTTCATGTTATCTACACAAGACATTGCTAACTATCATCATGTTATCTACACAAGATAGTACTAAGTATCTTTATGTTATCTACACAAGACAGTACTAAGTATCTTCATGTTATCTACACAAGACATTGCTAACTATCATCATGTTATCTACACAAGATAGTATTAAGTATCTTTATGTTATCTACACAAGACAGTACTAAATATCTTCATGTTATCTACACAAGACATTGCTAACTATCATCATGTTATCTACACAAGATAGTATTAAGTATCTTTATGTTATCTACACAAGACAGTACTAAATATCTTCATGTTAT